CTGCTCAGACAGTTTCTCTCTGTTCCTCCCAGACTATCTGTCCTTGCTTCCACACTCTGTAGGCTTCCTTTCTGTGTTCAAGCTTGTCCAGGAGCATCTTTTTCATCTATGCAGGCCTCCTGGCATTTTTACCTGACATCCTCTTTGTCGGGATGCATCACTCCTGAGCATAGAGGTGATGATCCTGATATATTAGCCAACTTTCTTTGGCCACTCTTCCCTGTGCTATTCTACCAAGCAGATCCCTGAAGGGGCCAAAGTCTGCTCTCCTGAAGTCCAGGGTAGTGAGGTTACTCTGTGCCCTCCTCACTGTCCTAAGGATCTTGAACTCCACCATTTCATGGTCACCGCAGCCAAGGCTTCCCTTGAGCTTCACATTCCCCACCTCCTTGTTGGTGAGAACAAGGTCCAGCATAACACGTCTGCTTGTTGGCTCCTCTATCACTTGGAGTTTATCATCAATGCCCTCCAGGAACCTCCGGGATTGCTTACGTCTTGCCTTGTCCCTCCAACAGATACTGGAATGGTTGAAGTCCCCCATGAGGACCAGGGCCTGTGAAGTTGAGGCTGCTCATGTCTGCCTGTAGAGGCCCTGATTTGCTTGTTTGTCCTGGCCTACAGCAGACAGCCATTATACTGTCACCTCTACCAGTCCTCTCTTTAATCCTAACCTGTAAACTCTCAGTCAGCTCCTGATCCATCCCCAGGCGGAGCTCCATGCACCTCAGCTGGTCGCTGGCACAGAGGGTGACACCCCCTCCTTGTCTCCCCTCAGAAAGATTGTTCCAGCTTGTTTTTATACTCTTTCTCAGGGCAATCCTCAGCTGATCATTCAGCTGGCTGCCCCAGCATCTCTCCTAAGAAATTAATTTGCAGAAAAATTGCCAGAGGAAAATCCTCTCAAGGCAATTACTACAGTCACCATAACATCCAGCACTGTGGGTGCCACACTCTTCCATTCTCCTTGAGTCCCCATGACTTTGTGCATGAAGCTTGCAAATCAGAATTCTTTTGTCAATTAAATCACATTCTTTTCAGTGTGTCAGGTCTTTAATTGATGATTCAGTGCATTTTTGAGGTACCGTATGGATACATATCACTGAGATTATAAACCTTATTTTAATGACTGCAGATTTTAAAAAGTGCATGTCAAAGCGGGTAGACAGAAAGCATTGTAAAATTATTATTGAGTTAGCCAATTATTTTTTTTTTTTCCCCCAGTGGCTTATCCTAAAGCAAAAGGTCAATAAGTTAAAATTAATTTTAAGAATATTTCTAGGTCATTCTGCCTTTACAGGAAATGTGTGTTTGATCCATGTAATTGACTGCATTTACATGCTTGTGTAAGACTTTACATAAATATGTGGAACATACCTCCAACTGTATGCATCCAGCATATGGATAAATGTCTTCAAACTCATGAGAAGGTTTGCAATTCTGTATATAATGGTGTCATTGTATAAAACATGTGCATGTCTGCATTAAGTTTTACAGCCTATTAAAATATAATACCTATTCCTCTGCTTAAAAATTTGCCACCCAGAGGTCAGCTTTCTCCCAGACTAAATTCCTGTGATTGCCACCATTTTTTCCTATTCTGTTCTCTTTTTACTATTCAATTCTGCTTTTAATCATGCTCAATCAGTAATGAGATTGAATCTTGCCGGACAAGTAGTCTGTTTTCTTTGAAGGTGAGAGAACCAGCATCGGTGGTGATCATCTGAAGAAACATTCAACTCAGTCACTAGTATTTTGCGGTTGAACACAGATATTTATATATCTTGGTTGGGCACACTCAGAAGAACCTGAGGTTGCTGCAGGTTTTCACACTTTATCACCCCTAATCCATACAGTTCACATGTTCCCTATCAGTTGATGAGAATCCTGTAGAATCTGTAGGAGTCAAACCTAACCTGGACTTGTTTAAATAGGATTTTTTTCATTAATTGGAATTTAATGTAAAGTGTTGTCTCTTGCCTCTGTTGGTTCTGAACCAGCCTGACTAAATACTTATGTTCAGTTATTGGCTTAAAATAAACATTGTCCTAAAACCTGTTATCCCCTAATGAGAACCGATTGAGCGGTTTCTTTTCTAGTCTGGCTAGAGAGAGCTGTAACTAAAATGCAATTCCTTGGAGAAGCCAGTTTTATTTTAATGTTTGTTGTGTTGGGAACAGCTGGCTATTACAGCCACCAGTGTACTCTGAGTGCAAATAGGGCAAATCAGCCTGTCTTTCATCAGTTCTTACTAGAAATATATGCACTGTGTCTCTTTGTGTTGAGATGATGAGGAATTGATTTATGGTGAGGAGCAAATGAACTAATGGGGCTTTTTCTGTCCCTCTTGCCATTCCTTCCAATAATCCTTATCTCTCCTTATAAAATTCTGAATCTCCTTAAGTTCCCTGTACAGCAAAATAACACAGCTTCTGACTTAGCCCCTCAATACCCACTGTAGTTTTAAGAACTTAGAGAAAAGGCGCAAGCTGGTGTAGCAGGAATATAAGTCTTGTACAGGATCCAGCAGAGATACTGGAAATCGTTGTCAAAGTGTGCTGAAGAACCACCATGTAGTCCCACTTTGGTGACATGAGTCTTCATTTTAAATTTTTTGTTTTATATGGTCTTCATTTTAATTTTTTAATTTTATATGAACAGTTTAACTGGTTTTGGCTTGAGTAAGGGATTGAAATGGGACAATTTCACTCAGAGGTGAATCTAGATCAGAATTGAAAAATGTACATCTTCTTGTTCTTAATCTTTGTACTACTCTGTGGGAGAAACACAGCTTTGGTGATCTTAGACTTTGGGAGACACTGACTCCCTCTCAGTCTGTTGTGGCAATGAAATGATCTGAGGATTTGCATAATCTCTTTCTAAATAGCAGTTCCAGTGCTCTTTTGCTCTAGAGACCCATAGAATTGTAATACACATGGAAAACTTTCTACAGCATAAAAATACAGTGTGATGTAATTCAAGATTTCGACATGATACAAATATCCAAAGGGCAGGGTTGAGGCTGTATGTGCAGCCTTTACTTTGCAATTTCCTGGCAGTCAGAGGTTTAATTTTTATAACTTTAGTCATATATACTGTTGTCATTTTTTTCCTACTGGCAATTCAATTAGCTTTATCAGAAAGAGGATAAAAAGTCCCAGGCACTGCAAAACTTCAGGCCAGATCTGTGAGTGGAAGACATTTGTTTTAGAAGGAAAGACTTGTTAGAATAAAACCAGAGGTGATAAGAACAGGTGAACAGGCGGACCAACTTCCTACGCACCAGTCATTTACCAGCAAACAGAATAGAGTTACTGAAAATGAGGAGTGTTAAAAGCAAAGGAGGATCAGTGTTAGCTACATACCTGAGTCTTCCCACAGCTGGCTGTAGGCAATGATACAGGTTTTTTTGAGAAGGGAAGGGGAAAGTGCTTATTACATTTAACTGCAATATGATGCCTGAAGAAACTGAAATCATGTCAATGCAGAGCAGTGTGCTTGACTGCATTCATGCTCACAAAGGAATGCTTCAACACTGTCTAGAAAACTCAAGGGAGTAGAGTGAACAGAAGTATGTTGTAAAATCTGGTGTCAGCACAAGGAATACATCATAACACATCACCAATAACTAGTGGTGTGCCTCAGGTATCCCTACTGGGTCCACTCCTGTTCAACACCTTTGTTAAATATCTGGATGATGGGACAGAGTGCACACCCTTATGAAGGGTTGTGCTGCCATTCAGAGGGACCTCGACAGACTGGAGAAATGGCTGACAGGAACCTCATGAAGTTCCAGGGAAAATGCAAAGTCCAGTACCTGGGAAGAAACAACCCCAGACACTGGTACATGCTGAAGGTGAATAAGCTGGAAAGCAGTTTTGCAGGAAAGGACCTGGGAGTCCTGATGGACACCAAGTTGACCATCAGTCAGTCAGCAATCTGCCCTTGTGGTATACCTGGCGTATCATGTCCAGTTCTGGACTCTCCAGTGCAAGAGGGATGTGGAGAGAGTCCAGCAGAGGGCGAGTAGATGACTAGGACTGGAGCATTACTTATTTGAGGAAAGGCTGAGGGATCTGGGACTGTTTAGCCTGGAGAAGATTCTCAGGGGCTCAGGGGGATCCCATCAATGTGTACGGATATCTGAAGGGAGGCTGTAAAGAAGACAAAGTACTTTTTTTACTATATAAATGTATCTGTTTAGTAATACAGTACTACTAAATTATCTAATAGTTTTATGTAGTTCAGACATTAATTGGGTTCTGTGCCATGTGGTAATTCTAATGGAAATGTGGTTCAAAGACAGCCTTTACTTACTACAGAGGACTCTGATGCAACAACACTTGCCTGTGTCCCCCTCTTCACTGGGGCTCTGTGTTGTTCCAGTTGTTTCCCTGAATCTCTATCTGAAGTGATGATATCAGTGAATTTCTATGAGTGATGACAGTAGTGTGCAGGCCAGTGAATATGCCACTGGAAGGATTCACAAGTCTAAAAACTTCAGGGTGTGCAAGAGTTCAGTCAAAACACAGGCTGCAGTGGATGATCATTTCTTCAACATTTTTTTCTGTATTCTATTTAAATCTTGTTAACCTGAGGTAAGGATTTGTAGTCAAGGTCAAGTGAGATAGCCCTTGACACAGTATGGTAACAAGAGAAAAGGCTTTTACTTTGAGTGTGCTATTACCTATTGCTGAAGAAATAGGTGTATGGGATTTCCATTGCCTAGAACCTGTTGACAATAAAAGGTTTTATGAAAATAACTTAGACTGCGAGCATTGTTTTTTAAAACCATTAATATAGATTTTATTTCACATATACTTATTTGTAAAGAAAAAGTTATTCTCTGCCAGTATGGAGCTGTTCATGCCACTTTCCCATGCAAATGAATGAGAAATGAAGTTGACATTGTAAGGCAATTTTTACTTCTACCAGCCATTTAATTTATGATCTTAAGCACTGATTTACTGTAAATGTTAAAAAAATATGTAATATCTTCACAGCTGCAAAGGTTTTTCGAGATATTCTTCAAGAGCAGTTCTCCCCAACAAGCCTTCAACAACATGAAGGAAGCTATAAGCAAACTTCTACTTATAACTGAGGTCTTCAGTGAATCATCTGCCTCAGGACCAAATTCTTTCAATCAGTAAGTGACTTGCAGTAGTCATTGCTACGCTGTTGTCAGGATAGCTCCCTAGAACAGAAAAAAAAAAGAAATGTAGAGGATACAAGGCTCCTAAAATAAAAAAATCCTCTCTATTTCATACTTCTTTATAAAGTGAGGACATGCTGCATTTAGGGAGTAAAACTCTTCAATACCCACAGTGTTTCTAGTTTGTGAAAAGGTTATGATGCATACCTAGGACCAGATGCTGTATCCTGATGAAGTGTTTCAGGCAGAACTAATGAACAGAAATCACTCACGACTGGACAAGTACTAACATATATAAAGCTATATTTCCCTTCAGTGAGCCTTCTGTCATATGTCAAATATTTAATGTTAGAGTAGCCCAGATGGTTCAGGGCTAGCTGTGGCAGGCAATCTGAAAAAGAGACACTGTAGAATACTTTATGACATGTACCTTATGAAATATACCTAGGCAGCAGCAGTCACATTTCTATGGCTGTTAAATCATTGTAATTGGTTCTATTAGAGTGTTACTGTTCTCACACATAAATCAACCTTTATTATGTAATATTTGTATAAATTGAAATTAATATCTGTTCTATATATGTTGTGTCACATATCTGACATTTTTATGATAAATACTAAATAGGTTACTATTTATTACATTTGTATGTTTTATAAAGCTAGTTGAGAACCCAGGTGTTTTAGTAGCAGTAATATAAAGCTCATTATTTGACTTACGTAAGTTGGGAATAAAGCTTACTTTGTGAGTGGAGAGGGTAGTGAGGAGGGGAAGAGTGTAACAGGGCTGGAGCTATTTTGATAGTGGTCCAAACTGTAATATTTTTTTACCAGTGGGATGGATATCTCTTGTTTATGTAACCCAAGACTTGCTAAGTGCTCCTGGCCCATGCCTTCAGACATTCCCATTGTTGCAGCCATTTACCTCCAGTGAGCCCAGAGAGTTTCTCCATCTATTGCCCTCCAAATGTCTTCAAAGCTTTTGCAGGACCTCATTCTCATCAAAAGGCATTTCCTCCTCCAGCATAGTTCACCTCCCTCATTGATTTAAAGGTCAGCCATATAAATACACTTTAGTATAGCACTGTTTTCATCAACTCACAATCTGACTCCATGCAGTTGGCTCTTCTTAAGAAATTTTTTTTAGTCTGTATGACATGCTGTAACTTGACCTATGTGTGTATGTTCTTGTGTGTGTTATCTGGACCTGTGTGTGTATCTCATTGTAGCATATATAGGTACATGGTTCAGTGGTGGACTTGGCAGTGTTAGGTTTATGGTTGGACTGGATGATCTTAATGGTCTTTTCCAACCTGAATGAATCTTGATTCTATGTTTCACAACAGTGGCTAACCTCGCTGAATCTGATTCCTGTTACATTGTATTTCAGATGCAGTCAATGTTTTCAAATGCTAACCTTTGACATTGGATTCGGCACCTCCATATACCCTGTAGTTCTTGAGGTGAGAAAATTACACAGATTATTGCTTGACCCCCAAAAAATTTACACCAAAAAGAACACATCAGGGAAACATCTTTAATAGGTACCTGTAAAAATACATTAATGTTAATTTTGCCTAAAAGTGGAGAGTTGCTGTGGGTGAAATCAGTTTTTAAAGGACAGAGCTACTGTCATGAAGCTCACTACACCATTGAAGTGTGGAAGCCTTTCAGTTTTAGCGTGAAAGGACTACCACCCCAACTGAATATCAGGGAAACAAAATCCAGAGGAAGCACTGCAGGAAAGTAGAGTTAGATATTAACTGTGCCAGAACAAAGATGAAGGGAGAAAGTTAAAATACCACAACTGGCTTATAATACAAATTAAAGTTCTCCTTGAGTTGTATGGTACTTCTTCAGTTCATGACCTGCTTTGACTTCCACTGTGCTGCCTTCTTCTTGGATGGTCCTCAAAGCTCTCGAAGCGAGAAATGTGACTTGCAGCATAAACTCCTTGTGCCAGTTTTGTACTGCTCCTGCCTCAGAACAGTCTGGCCAGATATGAAAACTATACTGCTTTCCAGTTGCTTCTCATTACCCCTGCATATACATATGATTATATATATATAGGTATATAAAATCTTTGTCCATGTTTATGATACACAAAAGGCAAAAAAAAAAAAAAAAAAAAAAAAGTAAATATATCCTGGGAAATTACAGGAGAAGACTTTTAAAATTAATCCTCAATTAAAATCTGTTCAAGTTTCTAGTAACAACAGTGTAGTCAATCTGTCCATCCTTCACAGAAAAAATAATCCTTTATACACAAAGGAAAAATGAACATATAAAAGAAAGTTTTCACAATTTAAAAAATCCATGAAGACAGTATCCTTAATTAGCCTAGCAAGGTTCGTTGGCTAGTATAAGAGATGTGATGTCATAGCAATTAAATAATTGAATACCAGGCTGTTAAAAATTCTACCAGGAGCTGCTTGAAAAACTAAACGTAAAGCATAATGTTTACCTACCTGTATAGTAGTCTCAACCATCAGCCATGATCCATAAATGTATAGTAAATAAGTAGGATTTAATAGTTTCTCATGAAAATACAAATTACTCTAAAAAACAACCGTTGATAATTACTATGACATTTAACTTTAAATAGTATCCCTTGAAAAGTGTAATATGCACACACACCATGCAGCTTGAAGTTATGTTTGTTCATGTTAAAATACAAATTTATCCATGTTTTATAAACATTAGTTTATTCATTGTGTTTCTATATTGCAAAACTTATATTTCATGTGTAGTAACTTCTAAATACCTGAGTTTTGCAAGAGTTATGTTAATATAGAAGCCGACAATTTTAAAAATCAAATTTCAAATCAAACATAAAAAAAAAGCTCACAAGAGACTGAAATGTTGTACTCTATCCACTGGAGGTCAGCAAACATTGTGGTGTGTAGTTCTGACAGAAAACGTGGTACAGCATCTGTTATATTATAGTCCTGTCTTTTATTAGTGTTATGACTTTTTTTTTTTTTTTTTTTTTTTTTTTTTTTTTTTTTGATAAATAGTTCTAGTTTGGTATATGTGTTTATGAGAAGACTGGGCTTGATATTCAAACTGTAAATTCTTACATTGTTTTCCAACAGGTTCATGACAAGTTTGACTTTCAGGATGACGATGAATCAAATATTCAGGACCAAACTTTCAAAGAATTTCTTTTTGAAGATACGTTTAAATTTCTCTTATCTAATGAATCCTCAACATCCAGTTTCATAGAAGCTTTACAAAAAATACATGGATCAGATGTGAGCAAGGTCATTCATTCCACCTTTTTCTTAGTATTAACTGTTTGAAAACATTTTATATTAAATTGTATGCCTTTCTGAAACTGCTAGTGCCAACTTATAGAATGAAGGATTTATTTAATCAAAAGTATCTGTTACTTTAAAGTTACTTTAAAGTACTGTATTATGTTTAAAACTTTTATGTTATTATGTTTTAAAACATTTTTAATGGTCTTTTCTAATTTACAGTTTTGTGTGTTTTCATAAGCCTAGAACTGATTAACTCAGTAGATTCATGAGCATCAAAATTAAGTTTTGTTTCCTATAATTCCATGTCTTATTCTGAATGCAAGATCCAATTACATTTTTTTGCATTTATAGGATCTGTATAAAGTTTGCATCACTAGTGAAAATTATTTCTGACAAGCTGAAATCTCCTTTATCAGTATTTCTCTCAGTCTGGGCACTTTTAAGGGTGCGTTTCTGAGGAGTCCCCTGCAAGACTTACAGGACTAAATTATCCATGTGACTTCTGCCTCTCAGAGAGGTGTGACTAAAACCAGGTCATGGGTTCTAAATTTATCACAGGATAGAGTAGGAAGCCACTGACATATGCACATATATGATATGATTACCTAAGTCGGTGTTCTGTAGGAGACCAGACCACATTTCAAATTATCCACTTCAATGTCTATACTTTATGCAGTCTGTGCCCATGGTAGTTTCTATGGGTACTTTTCTACACAAAGCTATTGCACAGTCTACTTTATTCTAGACTGAGAAGTGGGAAGAGCTATCAAGGAGTTGGCTGGACATGGCTTTGGATGAGGCTAGGGCAAGTTGAGAGCTGCTGTAACTTGTTTCTTTGATCACCAAAGGGATTGGGGTCTAATGAAAGCACTCTGCTTTCCATATGATCTCACCAGAATATTCTCCCCTTTCCTTCATAGGGTGGAACTTACCACAGAGAAGATGAGCAATGTTTGTCTTTAGAAGAGATAAATTCAATGATTACTTTCATAAAGGAGCTGAAGAATCTGGGACAATTTGAGCTGGTAAAATAAACAGGGTTTTGTTGTGTTAGATACGTATTTATGTAAACCTCTTAACGTTTCTCCATTACCATTCTTTGCTGTCTCTGGCATATGTATTAGGCTGGATGAACAGGAAAGCAGGGAGGTAGAGGTTATGCTGATTTTATTTTGGAGGATTTTTGAAATTTAAATTAAAAAATATAAAGAAATAGAGAATTTGAGTAGAGAATTAATTGAAAAGAACAGCTAAAGCAGAAACAGAGACCAGAAAATAGAATGAAAGGAAAAGGAGGAATATTATGTAAATGACTAATGAGTTGGTAAGAAAATAGAATGATAGAGAAGCAAAACAGGCGTGAATTTATGAACTGGAGACAGTACAACACTGAGTTCATGACCAGAGAATAAATATAGATGAAAAAGTGGCCAAAAAAGCAGGTGGAATATGTGTCTTCTACACACTTCAAGTGAGTTCATTTTTGGAGAATAGGGATGGAGGAGTAACAGTGTCTGTGAATAGGCATGGCAGTTAAGGAGAGATATGACAAGTATTGGAGAAATAAAAGATCTGCAACTGGATCTTTGTTCAGAAAGTCTGTATGAAATCAGGTTTTCTTCTAGACCTGCTAGATGAGTTGGAGACTGATGAGACTTTCTGAAGAGGGATTGACCTGAATAGATCTGGAAGTCAAATCAGTGGCAAAAGAATTAGACTTCCATGTCAGTACTAGTAATCCTGATTTGCAAGACTGGGCAAGATGGTCATTTTCTATAACATGTGGGAAATAGCATTAAGATACATGCATCTATATTCTATATACACTGTCTTCTCACTTCTCACTTTTTTTCATTTTACAAATATTGTAATGTGTAGTCTCTAATCATTGTCTCTCTTCTCAGCTTTTCCCTTCTGCTGCACCCAAGATTCAAACTTTACTGCGTGACCTTTATCACATGGTAGACCCAATGAGACGGCTTGGTTCAGTCCTGACTGTGCATTGGTTGCTTTCCAGTTTACTTGAACAATTCCAGTTCATGACTAAAGAGGCACATACAAATCTTTCAGAATGGTAAGGTAGCTGTTATGTGATATGTTGAGGGTAGTTTCTCAAATGATACTAATTAATTGCAGTAGCTCCAGTGAGCCTCATAAAACTTAGTCCTTCAGTAGATGTAGGTGGACTTACAAGATTTGTGTTGAAGGTCCATCATCCCATCATGGAGCGTGTCAGTCCTTCTACCATTAGACATGTAGTTAGGTTTCTACATATGTCAGTTTTGTCCCTTTGCTTCTCTTTCTGATATAGAGAAGTCTGGGTTAAAAAATAATTGGAGCTACAGTAAATTATTTTCTAAGAAATATGAAGTAAATTAGGTAAATTGTTTCTGAAAAACTGTAAACTCAAATTAGGAGTGCTTACCAGGGTTCAGACTGTCTTTTAATTTATTGACCAATTAAAAGTAAAACTGTATGAAAAATATAAAATTTCGGGTGAGAATTTTTCTAAAAGGGACTAATAATGTTGAGTGTTTAAATTTTTTGTCCAACAACAGATGAGTCAAAGAGCATAATACTCTGAGAATCTCATTTTAACTCCTTTTGAAAAGCTGGAAAAATATTGTAATGACAAGATTAGATCCATTGAGCTTCTGTCAAGAAATTTTCATAAGGCAGGAGAGAGGAGGGAAGAAAGGAAGGAAGTAAGGAAGGAAGGAAGGAAGGAAGGAAGGAAGGAAGGAAGGAAGGAAGGAAGGAAGGAAAGTTGTGGTATACTATATGCTTAGTATAAAATTTGTAAAAATGTGTTTTCTGTCCTCATTATCTCTTGGCTAATGAAGTTTCATGTACCATACTTCTTTATGACTACAGGCACATATGATTTTGCGAACAAGGACTTGGGAACAGATGCACATTAGACTTGTATGCTCCATTCCACTGAGTGGAAGTTAATTGTGTGAATGACATTATTTTATACATTTTTCTTGGAGAATGTTGTAGTGACTATATAAGGTGTCTGTAAGATCTTTTAAATTTTAATTCTGTTCCTTATTGACTTGGGTGTGGCTTTCAACAAGTCAATAGTCATCTGTATCTTTGTTTGCTTAGCTATAAAGTGGAGTTTATTCTTTACCACAGTGCTAGGTAACTATTAGTGTTTTGAAAATACACAGTTCCATGAATGAGCTAAGTGTTATTGTTGTTACTGATGGCCATTATGTGAAAAGCAGCTCAAAGATGCAGCTGCTTGCATTCATGTGTAAGCCCTTGCCCTCTTGCCAAAATATTTAGGTTTGCATATCAAAGCATACCAACCTTTCTTAGCTTTCTGTTCCAATCTAAGCTGTGTCACTCACTCAATTTGAGCAAGCTCCTTGTCCTCTTCTTTTTCTTCAAACTGGACATTATTGTATGTGTATAAATATGTAGAGGTACCATGACCTTTCTCCAGGGTATAGGCCAATCTGCTTTTTTTCACTGTATTTTTTTTTTTTCGATAGCTAAGCTAATAATGCTATTCTGTTCATTCACTGTACAAAAACCCCATGTGTTTTGACATTGCTAAATCATAATCTTCCACTCCTATAGCTACATGCATGTGATAGTGATGCATGTGTCAGATATGCATGTAATTACAATTAATTGCAAGGAAGAAAGAGCTTAGTAGAGCTTACTCCCAAATAACTTGGGTATGCATTCTCTTTGAGATTTGATTAATCTTTTTCAAGATTCCCAGCTTTGAAGAGTTTGTATATCAGGACACTTTTTCTGAATTTCTTCAGTTAAGGTCAGGTTGTTTATTTAACAGTTCTTTTTTCTCTGATTATGCAAAACTGATATTTTCATTTACAAAATCCATTGATTTGCACAGATGACTTTCCAGAAGATACTTATGAGGAAAATATTGACTTCTGACTTACATGTCTTGTACAGTTACTCTGTTCACTCATCATGAATCTATAGGATGGAGACAGGATTTAAAGAAGTTTCCTGGTCTACTTTTCTTTACCCATATCACCTACATGACTAGTATTGAAACCTTAAATTGTATTAGTGAACTCTGAATTCCTTCCACAGGAGAATCAAGAACTCTAGAAACTCATCTCATACTATAATGAAATTTTTACAGCCTAGGTGAGAATGACCATCTCAGATGTATTGGTATAACATATGACAAAGTGCTTTGAGGATGATGGAGTGGTACTACCTACAATGTGCACTGAAATAAATGTTCTGCATTGTTTGTGTGCCATTTTTCAACTCTACACAGTTTCAACTTGTGATATGACTGAAACACATCTTTACTGTCTTTTAATATAGGGGTTATGAAGTACTGTGGCAAGTATATTTGTCTGTGTCAGACAGCAGGATAACATGGGAGAATCAGATTAGTGAGAAAAGTGAATCCTTCTGTATTTGCATAAAACAAAAGCCCAAGAAGGTCAATAGAGTTGCAAATGATTCTATGAAACTGATACATTTGGGAAAATGTTGCTAGCTTCCCATATGCAAGCTCCTTTTAAGGTCAATATAGAAGCAGCAGCCCTTGAATTTATTTGGGTTGAAAATAATTTCTTGGAGTGTAACTTGGTCATGCTCATCACCTGGGCAGTTTGAGAAAAAAAACATGGTTCAGACTATGGGGCAGAAGAAGGCAAAAGCAAGGAAGTTTGGATAAGATTACTGATCTGCAATGGGAAGAATGAGAGACAGAAGGAAGAAAGAAAAGAGAAAGACACTTGGTATTAAGTGCCAGGAAACCAATCCCACTCTTGAGTCTGCAATTTTGTATTTCCCTTTTGAAGATTAGCACAAGATACTTAATTGGGTGAACTAAATGCCCTCATGGAAACTGTGACTGAAGCCAAGGAAACACTACAAAACCACTACAAAACAGAGAGCTCAACTGTTGGTTAATCAGAAAAAAAAATGTTAATGATCATGTCTCACAAAATTACCTCCAGTGGCTCCTCATTTTCAAGGGAAACATACAAAACATAATCTAAAGAAATAAAATTCATAACTCTACTGAATTCTGTCAATAGTTTGTGATGTGCGCAGCAGCAATCTTTAAAAAGGTACCTTCACAAGCATGAACCCACCTAGGGTACCTGACATACAGTCATTAGTTTCATGAGAGTTAATTGCAAAGTGGGTAGGCAATGAGCACATCTGTGCTTGATAGCTCCTCTAAGATACTAAATAAATAAGGGACCACTCCTACAGATGAAGGTCCCTTCTTGAATAATGGCTTGTGAAGGAAAGGAGTCTGCAGAGGCCAGGATCTCAGACACTCCCTGACTTCCCTAGTCCTGCTGGCTACAATATAATCTGAGTATCTTTCTGCAAAATAATTTCTAACTATTGCATTTTGATACCCTGTTGTAATTAGTCAGAGTTGTTATAAGTGTCTTAATGTTTTTTGACGATAATTACAATCTCTTTACATAGTTGACATGTACAGGTCACACTGTTCCTTTGGGAGCCAGGGCCATGCAGTGGTGGTGGCTGCCACACTCCCGAGATGTCCTCTGGCTAAACCGAAGTCTGACATTTTATAGAGTTAAGACATCTTGTTTTCACCTTACAATAGGATTTGGGACTGGGCAGTCAAAAAGGAACAACGGAGAGAAAAAATGTATTTGATTGACAGGTGTTAGCCATTACCTCCTTGGCAAACAGGAGGAGGTGTGCAAAATGACTTATAACTTGGAAAACAAACTCTAATAGTTTGTTAAATGCCTCTTTTGAAGGAGGTCATCAATATGCATGAAACTAGGGCAGTGTCTAGACACTGCAACCTCAGAACTACATTTTCATGCACACACAGAGGCACATGGATCTGCCAGTTTCTTCTTTCCTTATCTTATTGAGATAATGTAGAAATCTCTGTTTTGTTATTGGACAGTTTACCTTTTACAATGATTGACCTCAATATTGCTTTCAGCAGCTCTTGTTGAAACATTAGTGATGGCTGATTGTACAGAACAATATTGCCACCTCCCTTCCTTGACACAGGCAGTGACTTTGTGTCTTTCAAAATCCAGACTGAATGGGCAGCAATATCTGGGAATAAGCTGCTTTATCAGAACTTCTATTGAAAACACTGGGAGGAAAACATGTGAAAGCTTCAAGAAATGCTAACAGACCTCTGAAAAGGTCTTATCAGCCAGAGGTCCAGTACATGGATCAGAGAGAAGCCTATTGCCTTTCTTCTACTATGCTCCCAAAATGCTATATGAAAGAAAAAAATCTGTGAAGTTAGTAATATAGGCACCACTAGCATGTTAATGAACTGTTACAATTGTCTTTTTTCACTGAGGATATATATATTTTTTTTTTTTTTTCCTCTGGATGTTAATCATGTGATTTGTTTTGAATTAGCAAATAAATTAGAACACATAGATGTTCCTTTATATGAATTCATGTTAATGTTGGCACAGATATTCACCTTGACACAGGCCTTCATTTATATTTAATTCATTTGCAGCAAAGTCTAACTTTAATCTCAAATATATATATATATATATATATATATATATATATTTTAAAAAGTCATAGAAACATTTAAGAGATATGGTTTGGGTTATTTTATTCTTGGTTGTATCTACTTTTCCTTTTCTCAGCAATTCAACCATGTTTTGAAATTTATTTCTGGTTTTCTTTTTTCTTGTTATATGCTACCATTTATTATGGAATGTGTGTTTTCTGTCACGTTCATTCAGGTAATATTGCTAATGTTGGGAATGTGAATCCAGAAGGTTAATCTTTCATGGAGAATATTAAAATGCCATGTGCCCTGGGTTGCCATATAGAAATTTTTGAAAAATGTTCTATGGTTTCTGTTCCTTCCATTCATGTAGAAATATGTCTGCTATTGAATCGACAGGAATTCTCAAGAAAATGCAAATCCTAAGCAGAATGTTCCTTCTGACTTAAGGAAGAATCATGAAGGTAAGGGATCAGAGTAAGTTCTTTTATACATGGCATGTTTTCCCTATTTCTTCTACTTCTGATAACATATATGATTTAGATTATGTTGGTTTGCTTTCCAGTTGGAAGGTCTTAGCTTACTACATATAAAAGACCAATTTGTTCCTTATCTGTGTAAGTTGTTCTGCCGAGCCCATGAGCAGTGTTTATGAACCTAAAGCAAAGATCTCACACTTAAAGTACACAGTATTTTTTATAATTAACACAATGAGAGTTCCTTCTCCTATAGGACTGTGAATCAGGCTTAGAGCAGAAAATTATTAATTGTTTCTGTTTATCTTTCAGTATTGCATTATTCCAGTAAGACTAAAGAAAGACAATGCAGTTATGGTAAGTCAAGGTATTTCTAGACCACTAAGGGGCAAGAAGAAAGATTACTTAAACAATTTTCTTGTTTTTTTCTGCATAACATTTCAGTGAATGGAATGCCTGTGGTCTGTCATGTAAAAAGGATTTTTAAGTAGCAAGAATGTTTATGAATCACTCAATAATTGGGCTATTATGTTAAATAAGCTTCAAGCACAAAGTTAAACATTGCTATGTGTGCATATTAATGTGAGTATTCCAGCACTCATTGATACCTTGCTGCACTTCAGTAGACTTTTGTCCTTTATTTCCAAGAACTTTAGCATACATTTGTTCTTGTGGAATAACCTTTAAACTCGTGTGGTGTTTAATCAGCCTTGTATAAGGCCAGTCTTCAACTCAGTGGTGGAGTTTTAAAGAGCTGCTTAAGAGATGAAGAGTTTTTCTAAAATATGTGCTTGTAGGAATATTTAATGTATATTTAAAGATATGTAATGATTTAAAGTATATTTGCCTTTGGTGGGAGCAATGCTTTCTTCTGCTGTCCTTATTGACACATCATCTGAGGGGTCGCTTTATAAACATGAAACAATTGCTCTGTGGTGGAAAGGCTTTTCTATCCATTGAGCCTCATTTCCTCTCTGATACTGATTTCATGGTGCCTCCAGGAAGTCTTTTGTGCCAGTCAGAGGCCGTAAATGCTCCTGGGCTGGCTGACTGGCACCATTCTGATTGCATTATATTTTATTTTTAAAATACCTCAATTCATTTTCTTTTGAAAATTCCTCCTAATTTTTAAGCTAGTAGTGAGATAGCCTTTCTAGGTGAGGCGTACAGGATCTGGAGAAGTATTCATACTCACCTGTAGGATTTTTTAAAATACCTTCTGTGTGTCAACTTATAAGCTTTTATTCCCCCACAGATCTAGCTCAAATTTTGCTCTTCCATTGGAATAACATTCTCTACATTTTAATCCATTCAAGAGTGCTGAAATTGCCCCGTTTTTTTTTCTCAAGACAGATATTTTGAGGTAAAAAAAGCCCACATAGAACTGCTTGCATCCTTTATAACCCTTTAAAGCCATGCTTTAAGCCACAAGATTTTTCACATATTACAGAGAAAGAGTTTCCTGTATGGAGTGTTTTCTGCTAGTTTTAAAAACATACTAGAGAATATATGTGTAAAGCGAGTTTTGAATGTGTAATTATACTGTAAATCTGAATCCAATAGTTTGGATTAAAATATTTGTCAAAGTGAGTTGCCAGCAAATAATTATTCTCATGAGTCATTTGGCAAACGCTACAAAATTAAAGGATACACTTGAGCAAATAGGATTTGATTGTGGAGATTTCATACAGAGGGAAGGAGCTGGATTTTTTTGATTTAAGAATTTTAATAAAACCTTCTTCCAGCTGTACTGCAAATGACCCTATGGGTCTCGATATCTCCATGTGACTTGTTCTCATGAACAATAAGAGTATGTCTAACTTATTTTGATTTTTATTGGCAATTACACATGTACATAAACCCTGTACACAGGCTGGTACCTAAGTAGGTTATGAATTTTGGCCTTACTCTCCTTTAAGTTTTGCTTAACCAACTGGAGGCAGAATCTCCCAGACTTAATCCTTGCATTTTCAAAGGCTTACTTAGACTTCGATTTTTGTGACTCTGACTAAAGTAATTGGGCACTGAATGATTAAAATCCCTTCAGGGTCTCAAAATTTATCTCAAATGCCAATACACACTCCATTAAGACCTTGAAGCAGGATTATCAGTCTTAGAGTGATCAGGCATTAAAAGTCTTGCCACTGTACATGTTATCAGTCTGCCAGAAGTTGCACGTTACTTAAAAATGTTCATACATTTCACAGTTTTTTCTTTGATGCCTTCTTGGAACAGATAAAGATACCCTATCTCATATCAGGCAGATCTTCACCAGTCCACAGCTGGACTTGAATCCTCAGTTTAACCCAAAGACCAAAGAATACTACGCAGAAGTCCCATTCGACATAGTGACAGTGAAGATAGGAGCAGAACCCTCTAACTGTCAATGCCAAGTACACCTTGATGAGAAGAAAGGGCCAAGGTATGGGTGACAAAACATGAGTGTGAAAACCACATGTGTCCTTAACACTGGAAATATGTCAGAATATTACCGAGTTGTTTTGTGGTTCCAAAACCACAGAATGCCTATAGATTAGTCACAGGAAATTCAGAGAGATTTCAACACTCAGAAATTTGTATTCATTTGTCAAGGTCCTGAAGGCAAAGGTAATGTGTTCTCAAGCCATAATTAATACTAGCTTTATGAAGTACACAGTTGCTAGTAACTTCCCCAGCATCTCCAGTCACTGCAACATCAAAGCTGGGTGGGAACAGACCATTATTACACTGCACACAATAGACAGCAAAGTACTTGAGCTTTTGTATCCAGGCCTTGATTTTGCACTGTGACCTAAGCTATTGCCCCACCGGGCTTGGTCTCTCAGCCAGCAGTCTGCCTATCTGGGTCAGAGTAGGACATCTGGGATCAAAAGTAGAAATAAATTCAAGTTTACTCACTTAGAATGATCCGGTTTAGTCAGAATTATATTATAGGGGATTATCATAGAATCATTCAGGTTGGAAAAGACCGTTAAGATCATCACGTCCAACCATTAACCTAGCACTGCCAAATCCACCACTAAACCATGTCCCCACCACTTCTACACATCTTTTAAATACCTTCAGGGATGGGGACTCAACCACTTCCCTGGACAGCCTGTTCCAATGCTTGACAACTCTTTCAGTGAAGAAATTTTTCCTAATAGCTGATTTAGACATCCCGTGGTACAATTTGAGGCTGTTTCCTCTTGTCCTATCAATTCTTACTTGGGAGAAGAGAACCCACCTTGCTACAACCTCCTTTCGGGTAGCTGTAGAGGGCGATGAGGTCTCCCCTCAGCCTCCTCTTCTCCAGACTAAACACCCCCAGTTCCCTCAGCCGCTGCCCGTACGACCTGTGCTCCAGACCCGGCACCAGCTTCGTTGCCCTTCTCTGGACACGCTCAAGTCATTCAATGTCCTTTTTGTAGTGAGGGGCCCAAAACTGAACACAGTATTCAAAGTGTGGCCTCACCATTGCTGAGTACAGTGGATCACTTCCCTAGTGCTGGCCACACTCTTTCTGATACAAGTCAGGATGCCATTGGCCATCTTGGCCACCTGGGCACATGGCTGGCTCACATTCAGCTGGCTGTTGACCAACACTCCCAGATCCTTTTCCTCCAGGCAGCTTTCCAGCCACTCTTCCCCAAGCCTGTAGCATTGTATGGGGCTGTTAACACCCAAGTGCAGGACCCAGCACTTGGCAATGTTGAACCTCATACAGTTGACCTGGCCCATTGATCCAGCCTGCCCAGATCCCTCTGTGGAACCTCCCTACCCTCAAGCAGATCAACTCTCCCACCCAACTTAGTGTATCTGAAAACTTAATGAGGGTGTACTCAATCCCCTCATCCAGATCACCAATAAAGATATTAAACAAAACTGGCTCCAGTACTGAGTCCTGGGGAACACCACTTGCGACCAGTCACCAACTGGATTTAACTTCATTCACCACCACTCTTTGGGGCCAACCATTCTGCCAGTTTTTTACCCAGGAAAACGTATGCCTGTCCAAGCATGAGCAGTCAGTTTCACCAGGAGAATGCTGTGAGAAACAGTGTCAAAGGCTTTTTATTAAAGTCCAGGTAAACAACATCCACAGCCTTTCCCCTCATCACTAAGTGGATCATGTCATCAGCAAGTCCCAGTTTATGTGATCTTTTAGAGAAGTATAAAGCTGGAGAATAAGGGAGAGACCAAAGTCATCTGGCTCGAGCACTGACCTACAATCATCCATGATGTTTAATTGCTACTATGATCCCTGGCATAGTTTTGGCTTTTCCAACCAGCTCTTTCACAGCCAACAGCATGTGCCAGGGAAAATCCCAATAGGCATTTTGGGCATGACCTGGTTTTGGATGTTGGGAGGGACAAAAAGTGTTTATTTATCTGGGTCAGGTATCAGAACCAGAGAACTGACCTATTTACATGCTAGTCATTAGTGAGTGGATAAAAAAGAAATCAGGGAGTTATTTGCTTGAGAGAAAGAATCCTTAACCATTACAGAGCCAGCTTTGCTCCATGGCATGAGGTGCCTATACAACACTTCATCTTTTGACTGATTATGAAGCAGATGTTTTGCCCTAGAATGTCTGCTAATAATCACTCTGTGCAGTTGTTACTGATCTAATGCCTAATATGCTCCCTGTATTCTCAGTAAGGAAATAGCCTTGATTCATCATTTCAAAAGGAGCTCACATAAAATTCTTCCATTCAACTTTTTAGTATTTTAATATCAACTACCTTGGCCATCAACATGGATACATGCAAAACACTAGTGGCCAATTTCAATGGCTAGCTGACACCTCTGATATTTTTTGTCTCCCTGCTGACTTCACCATGAACTTGGACCTAACAGGAATTATTATCCCTAGTGGCTTCATTCACAGATTTCATGTCAGAATTGTTGCCACTGCCACTTGAAACTGTTTTCACTAAGTTCACTGTCAGTATTTTGTCTTCCTGAAAGAATTGTAAATTGTTAAAAATCTAATTTTACACTGATTTTATTTAAAATAATATGTTAGAAATAGAAGTCTCAAGGAGCAAGTAAAGTTTACCTGCCATAGATAAAGCAGTGTAAATCTTTGTTTCTTTAGTGTTTATTCCACTTCTTTCCTTTTTTGCCTTGCAGCATTGCTAACTACCCCCTTGGCCTTGGATTGAACAAAGTCATCATTCTCGTAACAGATGATTCGCAGCCCAACCCTCTGATTGTGAGCAGCTACAAAATCACAATTTATCGAGAGGACCGCCCCAGTCTGCCTTTATTTGATGACTATATGTTGTGCGGGTTTGTGCAGGTATTCTATCTATTTTCCTTTGCTATACAAATTAATAGTGAATTTAACTAGCTTCTGTTCATCCAGTGGTGCATGGCCAAAGCCAGTTTTGATGAGTTTAGAATCTGAGTTCTAAATGCTATAATTGTATGAAATACAGCATTTACACAATGTTTGGGATATAAAAAGTAAGTCCAGCATAAGTACCTGTTACTTAGGTATTTGAGAGTTCCAAGTTAATTAATCCTTACTTTGGTCAGCAAAATCTTACCTATTAGAGCACTGTTGTTTGCTTGTGAGAAAACCGTCCCTCTGTTTGCAGTGAGCAGACTGCAGTTTTCATCAGAGCCATGGAAATCCTTTTACCAGGAAAGATATTTATGATGATGGTGTGTTTATCAGTGTTCAAGACAAATGCTGATTTACAAATTAAAAGTATTTATTCTAGAACACCAACAAACACAATGGAAAAAACCCACTGTTGATTCTGAAGGATGGGATGATTGTTACTTACATTGCATTGCATAAGTTTGGGAATGCAAGTAAATTACTCCTTACAAAAAACAATACTTAGGAAGCAGTGGGTGTCTTGAATGAAAAAAAGGACAAGAGTGTCTGACAGGGTTAAAGAAGGGCTGGGGAAGGGAAGGGAAGCCTGAATTAGACACAAAATTGGAAGAAATATAATGAAAGAAAGGAACAGTGAAGCTTTCATTTAGTGAAACTATGGTAATAAACATATTCTTCATAAGATAGAAAACCTGGGACACAGGCTCGAGCAGAGCTGTTTGAATTTCAAAGTTTGAGGACTATATGTTGGTACTTGATATGATGGGCAAAGATAAGCCAGTCAGTTCAAAGAAGGAAGTAACATGGTAGATCATAATCAAGGGCAGTGCTTTTGTCTGTCGGATTTTAAATAGATTGGTGGGTTCATTCTAAATATTAGAGAATCCAGGAAGAATATTTTTAGTCACAGTTAATTCAGCAGCAAGGAATCAGGATTTTCAAAGCCATAATGTTGAAACTGTCATCCATGTTCATGTCAAATATCTATTCCTATCTTTATTTATCTTCTTTATGAAGTTCTTTATATATCAATATATCATTTTAATAAAATTTATTTCCCTTCTCCAGTTTCTCTCTCTATACTGCAGAAGAGGTTGGTAGATGAGGGTGGGAGAAGGCAAAGCATTTTATGTGATGGGACAGATCAAGAGGGATCTTTTTTTCTTGTGGAGAAATAAGCACTAGGCTTAAAACAGGAGCCAAAGAGATTATAAATGTAGATAGCAAATTGTATGTTGACAATAATTATCTCAATCTGCAAATCAGAACTGTCAGGGAAAATGTATGTAGTAGTCACAGCCTAATGACTGCTGATCTGAATACCTGATTATGGTTCGTCTGGCCCTCTACTTATTATTTGTCTCTTCTCTTACATTTATCTTACAAGCTCAAAAGGTCAAGGACCATCTTTTTGCTCTTTGTACTGACTCAGCGTTAGATCTTGTGGCTGCTACAGTAAATCAAATAAGAAAAACACATACAATATCTAAGATTTCAGTTCAGGTGTGAATTAGTATGAAAAGGAGAGAAGCAATAGCTTGAGATAGAGTTATATTACTAGAACACACTGGCTGGAAAGATGTGAGGAAAGCTCCTCTTGCCCAATTTGGGGCATGTATCTGGGGGTAGGAACAGGAATTCAACCTCATACGCATCCTCCCACACTAGAGTTTACACTGTTGTCAATGTTTTATGATAACATTTATGAGACTGAGTATGAATCTTTGAAGCACTGTAAAGGCAAAGAGATCTAGAATGATAAAAATGAAAAGTGTTTTAGAAGTTTCTTTTGATTGAGCTTTGTTTTCTGCTCCTATGTGAATAACTACTCTCTAATTAATATAATTGTTCAGAGCTAGGGAGGTCTTCAGGAATTTAGAGTAAAAATGAGATGAAAAACATTCTTGTGGTATCTAATGAGGGCTGTGAGGATACAGTGTGAGAATTTAAAACATTTTTTTTTAGATATGTTAAAGGCAAAATTATCAGAGACTGCCTTTAAAAAACAAATTAAGACTGGAGCTGGAGATAGAAATGGCATTCTAAAACACTCAGAAGTCTGCATTTTTTTCTCCTTTTTCCCCATTCGCTAGTACAGAATTTGTTGCCTTTTACTTAGAGTGATGTTTTTTATCGATACAAGACTCAGGTCTCAAATAGCATCATTACATTCTGCTTTTCATGCCAGAGAACATTATGTGCTCTTGCAGGGTGGGTTAATATGCCCTGATCAATGGCAGGAATGTTTTTTCTCTTAGTAACAAGACACCTGTTTTAGGAGCAAAAGGATAAATCAGCATGAACTGATGGAGTCTCCTTTGGACACTTGACTAGGCACAACTGGGATCACACATGGGGAGAGAAAGGTCACTGACAGTGGTGTGGTCTTTCTCACAGAAGGCTTCAGTTAAAATTCTAATCCAGCATTTTTTTTCCCTGACTTTCTTTTATGTTTAATCCCATTAGGATATTCAGGTTTCACTGCAAAATGATACTATAAGGAAGGTTACAATAAAAAGACAGTGTGGGATGCTGTTTCCAGTCTTCTAACAAATCTCACGCAGTTGAATAATCCTGGATTACTTTCAGGGCTATTGAATTAAGAAGTGTGTGGTTCCAAGACTTACAGCTCCTAAAAGGGGAAAAAATATTGTCCTCTCTCTTTTTTGATAGCAGCTATAATATCCTCATTAAAACCAAATTAGTAGGGAATAAACCGTGGCATTGCCAGAGCACCTTCAGCAGCTTTGGTTGCCTTTCATTGTGTGTTCTTCATTCTGACAGTATTGCTTAGACTGCAGATGGAGAGATTATTGGTTTGTGATTTAACTTTATTTTGTGCAATTGTTGACAATATTAAAATCAAATGTCCTTGAGAGAAGTGGTGCTATTTCATTATCACCTGTGAAGCTGTGATACCAAGGTAGAATGCAAAGCAAACAGCAAAAACCAGTGAGCTCTTAAAACAGGACTATCACCTTACCCTCAAGTGAAAGATCCCAGACTATGTACACAGTCATAAGGGTCAAAATATTTTAGCTATTCTATTCTTACACTGCCTGTTATCTTTAGAAGGCAAACAGATTTATCTATGCCTCACTTGAACTGTGTGGATGCTCCCTCTTTGATTGTTAATCGTTGCCTAGTTGTAATTATGGAAAGTAACTAGTGATGTGCTTAGGGAACTTTGAGACTGTGAACTTTTGTACCTATAGTGTCCTGCTGCCAAGTGTTTTGGGGGTTTTTGGGTTTGGATTTTTTTTTTTTCTTTTTTGTTATACAGTTATTTATTTGGTTTTAAATTGTGAGTAATGGATAGCTAATATTATATTTTATAAACCTAGTGTGTATCATTCTCTTTGTGCATTTGCACAAAACATGAAAAGGTACTTTCCAGAATCAGTGCAGTGCAATGGGCTGATGCTCTGGCTGTCCTACAGCTTTCTCAGGTCTGAGAGAATGGATTTACAAGAGAACAGCTTTAAAAACTTTCCTAAGTGCTATTATCTCTTATATTTTTATGAACCCTTTTACCATATTAATTTCTTAGAGTCCAGAGAGCATAAGAATTCCAACAGAGTTGGTAATGAGGTACTGGTATAGCATTGCTGGCTGTGTAACAACAAATGGCTGCGGTGCAGCTGGCAACAAGATGCCAACAACAGGATGTTGATTCTTTTTTCTGTCTATACACTTCCATTGATGAAAAGACAATTAATACCTAGGCCTAATATAATAACTATATTCAACTTTATTGAAGTCTTTGAGGGCTAGAGATACAAAAAACATTTAGAAAGAAAGCAGCCTTAAAAAACCCACAAGTAATTTAATTTTTTTGTTTTGTGAGATATTAGAATACTTATATTTTTTCCATCTCATTATACATTTCCCAATGAAAATAAATTTACTACATTTAAAACTGTGTGCTATTACAGTTACAATGCCTTTCATACCAGACCATACAAGAAAAAATTGTCAATTATAGAAACATGAATTAACTCTTTGCTTAGTGCTTTCATGAAAGATTTCAAAGAAACTTACAAATATTAAATAATATCCATAAAATAAAAATAAAATAAAATAAAAGTTTAGGAGAGAAACAAAGAACATGTCCTGTAGTAAGATAGACTTGACGCACGTTAGTCTCTTCTGTATCTCCCATTAGCTGCATTAGATTCAGTGTGACTCCCCTTACAAACCACACATCTCTTCTGCCCTTAGGACATTGCGGATACCATGTGCACACATAGTCTTTGCAGTGCTTGTTGCAGCAACAGCTAACCTTCTTCACAGTTCTGGGTTTGAGTATCTTGCTTGAAAACACACAGAAAGTGCATCTCTGAAACTGAATATCCAGCCTAATTATATCAGTGACCAGACTATATCTTATCTGCAAAGTTAACTTACTTCCCTTTTATTATAGAGAATAAAAGAATATGCATTATAGGAGCAATCATCCATTGCATTGTTCAGTATTCTCAGATCTATAGCTGGTGAGAACTTTTTCAGTGGTTTTGAATTTTTCAGAAAACAACAAAAACTGCCCCAAACTTAAAAAAAATCGTTTGAGTAATTTTATTATTTTTTTTAAAGATCTCTGATTATGGAAAAAATAATAAAGGAAAGCAAATGCTTTCTTCAAAAGAAGATGTTTTGATTCAGATAGGGTTATTTGATTAAAATTCAAAATTTATATTGATATAACTGTTAGGATAGAGATTTTAGCTATTGTGCAGTCCAGACTACTAACTGTTTTCTGGGACAAACAAAAAGACCACTCATTATTAGATCTGAAATACTCAAGCCTATACTTTAAATTTTCTTCAGAAACACTGGTGAGAGCATAGTATGACAGTCATTTTTTCCAGGAGCAATGCCAATTTAAGCCTCCCTTTCCCTGCCTGCAGCTACTCATGAACCAGACGGGAGAACTTTTTTGTTTTAAATGGACT